TTCTTGTTTTCTTTTTGGTAAAGCACACAGTCATTCGGGCAAGCATGTATCTTCTTGTACTCTAATCCAAACGGGCACATTAGTTTCTTGGCATAGTAGTTAGACTTGGGAAGTTCATTGCCATCCGTTCTTTGCTTTAATGTTGAAAAGTGTTAAAATGGCGGATAACTTAGTGTACTTAGTACAACTGGGTAAAGGGGTTTTTCAACACCTCTGACAGTGACTCAAAAATACAAGACCGTTTTTCGACATCATCGTTCACCCCCTCCATTAGATCATCCACACGATCCATGTCATCATCATCCACAATATTATTATCCTTGTCAAACACATTGTCATCCTCATCATCATCTATAGGACGCACATGATGCACATTTGAGTTCTCTATACACACTTCCTCCTCACCGTGCCAAATCCAAATGTGGTATAGAGGCTTAAAACCATAGCGAAATAGGTGTTCCCTAATCAAATTAATACTACTAAGCAAGTTCACATTGTTGCAATATAAACAAGGACAATAAATCCTTTCACTTTCGATACGCTCCCGATACTCTAAGGCGGTACGACAAAATTCCTCAACCCCATTTCTGAATTCCCATGTGTCACGCCTGTTCTCCCAGTACACGATGTAGGCAATTGCTTACTTACATATGTACCCGGAGAACAACTTAGGGAAATGACAAGCCAAGATATTCCTTAGAATAAAAAATAAGGCATACATTCAACACCTAAGTGAGATTAAACATCCAAGAACAGTCTCCACCGGGGACTATACAAGACATACTCCTAATGAGTTTGCCTTGAACGGGTATCTAGGCATGAGGATGCAAATAATTTACTTATACATGTCAAACACTATTTATATCAATTTCATAATAAATAAATTACACTCAAACATAACATATATATGACCATTAAAGATATTAAAAAAGAGAATAAAGAAAGAAAATGTGAAAAGTACATACCAATATTAGCTTCTATCAAATTAATGTCTATAATCTGTCAAAAGCTCAACATAAAGGGACCTAAGACAAAATCAAGCGTTAACACATGTTAATGACATGGATTTCACAAGAATAAAAAGAAATTCTACTCAAACTAACACAATCGAAAAACATAAAACATTTTGCATCCTCTCGAATCGAATAATTAGATAATAGGAAAAATACACTTTAATAATCCCAACTATGAGCGATTTACTTCTAAAAATCCCAACAAAAGTTTATTTTTTTAATAATCCTAACTATGGGGTTAGTTTGCCACTAGTAAACCTGGATGACCGGTAACTTGATAAGCAGGTTAATTTTTTTTTTATTTTTAGTTATAATTACATGTGTCACATTTCTATTGGTCTTGAAAAAAAAGTTAAAAAGAAAAAAAAAATTTAAAAATTTAAAAAAAAAAAAAAAAGAAAACCCAAAACAACAGCCGCTCCTCAACCATCTTAGCCGTCAGCCCTCCCCTTCCCTCTAAACCACCATCCCCTCTTCCCTAAAACCACCTCCCAATCTCTCAACAATAAACCAAATCAAAATCACAAAGATCATTGAGAAATTCAATCAACTCAAAAAATTGCATAGATTGAGAAAGCTAGCCGGAAAAGGAAATAAGGATAGAGGTTGGGGTTTCCAATTGAGAAAGCTAGCCGGAAAAGGTGCGAGGGGGTGTGGTTTCGCGAGCAAGCAAGCAGGTGGGAGGGTGGTGGTTTCGCGGATGGCAAACGGGTCGGATCTTTCTTGATTGATTAACCCAGATCCATTAATGCTACACTTGGATTTTCCTTTAAATATTTGATTTTGGTGGTTTGAACAAGGTTGCACTTTGACCCACTACCAAGCCTTCGTAATCCATTTCCTGAATCCCAGTAAAAAGCTTTTGTTCATGAGAAATTAAAATGAAAAAAAAAGAATGGATCTTTGTCAATGGGTTGGTTTGGGGGGAAGGGGAGGGGCAGTTTCGGAGGTGGGGCTGGGAAAGGTGGTTGTTTTCGGTGCATTGGAAGGGGAAAGGGGAGGTTTCCGGCGAGGTTGCAGCAGATTCCGACTAGACTAGGGGGAGGGGGGTGGCTGGTAGGGAGGAGACGTTTTTTTTTTTTTTTTTTTTTATTTTTCAGTTTTTTTCTTTAATTTTTCGGGCTTTTTTAATTTATTTTTTTTGGACCACTCACGTGATGCCACGTGTCAAAGCAACCTGCTATATTAGGTTGATGACTAGTTGGGACTATTAATGGCAAACTAACCCCATAGTTAGGATTATTAAAAAATAAACATTAGTTGTGTATTTTCTTTGACATTCGGGCACAGCTTACAGCAAGGGTCTTCTGTTAGTGACCGTTTGTACCTATTGGCGTTGCACAATACTCTGTTATGGAGGACCAGCCATAAGAATACTCCAACGCATTGCTTTCTGGTTTAGTCTTATTGCTGATGTTTGTTTAGTCTTTGCTTCTTGTTGAGTAATATGGTCAAAATCTGTTCCTATTAATTAGGAATGTTGGTAGGCTTAGGATTCTTGATTAAAATAATGTAGTTGTTGTTAGTGACTTAGTGGTAAGTTATTCTAGCCGTTAGTGGAAGTACAGGTCACTAATTTGTAGGAGTTCATTTTGGAGTTTGTTATTTTCGTTTTCTATTTAGGGGCGTTTGGTTTGGAAAATGGAAATGGAGTGGAAAGGAAACTAATAAGAGGGTTAAAAAGAATTATTTAGTTATTACCTTTATATTTGTTTGGTTTAACCATGAAAATGATATTTGTTAAGAGGAGGGTAAGAGTATTTGTTACCCCAAGTTTTGTAAAGATAACAAATGAGGGGTAACCACTACCTAAGAGTAATGGTAATTGTTGTCATGCCATCAAACCAAACATACAGTAATAGTATTAGTTTAATCGAATCTGTTTCCAATCCAAAAAATACACTAACCAAACGATCCCTTAAAGCCTTGTATCTTGCTTTTGAGCGCAATGCACAATCAGCTTTCATTGGTTTACTCTCTTTAATTATTTTGCTTTGTAAAACATATTCTATTGACTTGTGTTTACACTTCTTGGATATCCTCATTTGAATAAAAAAAAAAAAAGGTCACACTCGCATTTATCTCTTTGGAGGAAAAATTACTAATTGAAATATATATGTAATCACTTCTAAGCAGTATTATTATTTAAGAAAAATACATTTTAATAATCTCAATTATTAGCGATTTTCTTCTATCCATATCCTTAGAGATTGTAAAGCAGCGAGAGAAGTGTGGCGTCAAGTGGGAGGACCTGCAAACGCTCCTGATTTCCGAAATGGCTCTCTCCAACAATGAGTGATTCGAAACATCAAGGTACAAAGGCGCAATGATCTATCTCCTGAAATTTGGCCAACATACTTTGCTATTGTTATTTGGTGGCTATGGAGGTGGAGGAACGCTGTTGCATTTGGTAGGTCGAATGAAATTCCAATTGATGTTAAAACGTTTTTGTTAGAACGTTTTGAGGAGGTTTGGAGAATTGTGGGGGATGGTGAGAAGAGAAAGATTCATTAAATGGATGGCACCTCCTTCTGGATGGATGTCATTAAACTCAGATGGGGCTGCTAAAAGGGGGAGGGGGGATCATACGTGACAGCACTGGCAGAATGCAGTATGCTTACTCCTTAAAGCTTGGTCACTGTATGGCCTTTAAAGCTGAAGTTCTTGCTGTGGAGTACGGGTTGGAGCTAGCACGTCGAATGGGGATTAAGAATTTGCAGGTCCAAGTCGATAATCAAGCTCTATCTCACATTCTCAAAAGCTTGGATGACTATAATGGAGAGTGTATTCATGACATTCTTCACTGCAAAAGCCTAATAGCGAAGCCGGAATGGGAAGTTAAAGTCATACATATTTATCGTGAAACAAACCAAGCTGCAGATTGGTAAGGAGTTTTACAGAACAACAAGTTTGAGTTGATTCAAGTCCCGCCTTTAGCTCTTGGTCGTATATTGCATAATGATGTGGTTGGTGTGGCGGTGCCACGCTTGGTTCCACATTTGTTTTTCTTTTCCTTATTGTTTTTCCCGGGGCCTAACCCCTCGTGTGCACCAAAAAAAAAAAGCAAAATTGTCCAACTGGACTTCTAACTGAACAATCTGCATATTTTTAGCTAACTACAACCCGTATTTCAGAGCTAAAATTTCAGCTCGTATTGCTGTAAATAATGACTAAGCTCCCATAATTAAAACTTTTTCATATAATCAGAAAACCCTTTCATGAATTAACAAAATTAATTTCATTCATATTTACTTTCCTATTGAAATTAAATCATAAAACAATCACAAATTAATATGAAAATTAGATAAATTGGGTAAGAGAAATAGAGAAAAAAAGAGAGAGAAGCTGACTTACCAGAAGGACCACTGATGGCGCGACTAGGAGGCTGAGTAGGGCGCAACTGGCACGCGCGTCAGGAAGCAAGAGTTGTTGCACGTTCAGATATTGCGAGCTGAAAGGGGTTTAGATCGAGAGAGTTGAAGGAAGGGCTGAGAGTTGAAGGAAGAGGCTTGGCAATTGAACGGTTGGCCGAAGAAGATGGCGGACGCAGCAGGTCGACCGGAAATAGCGGAGGGAGAGGAAAAGCAACCCAAAACGTCGGCGGTGAATGGCGGAGGGAGAGGATTCGCCGGCAACCCAAATCGGCGGCGACGTGAGTGAATTGATTTTTAGTGTGGGTTGGTGAGTATTGAAGAGGAAAGAGTAGACAAAGAAGGAGACTGAATTGAGTGGCTGGTTCGAAAACAAAACAAGGTTTTGTTCTTTTTTGTTTTGGGCGGGGTAGTTTATAAATGCTACAATTATTTAAACTGTAGCGTTTTAATTTAAACTACGGTTTTTATGTTAACCGTAGCGTTTTCTTCATTTCATTGAGATAATTCTAAAATTACTAATATATTGCTACAGTTTTTATATTAACCGTAGCAAATGTCATGTGGTAAAAGACAATTTTTCTACTAGGGTAACTCTTCTAATGATAAATTGCAGGGTAAAATTCAAAATAAGATCGGAGAAGTGCAGATCCCTACAATCAAATTACCTTTCCCAAATCGACATCTCAAGAATAAGTTGGACAAGCAGTTTGGTAAGTTCCTGGAGGTTGTTAAGAATTTGCAAGTAACAGTTCCTTTCACAGAATTAATTACATAGGTACCTGCATATGCTAAATTTATGAAAGATATATTGACTAGGAAGAGAGCCTTTAATGAGGTTGATATTGTAGCTTTTACTGAGGAATGTAGTGCATTACTACAAAACAAATCCCCACCTAAATTAAAGGATCCCGATAGTTTTTCTATACCTTGTCATATTGGGAATCTTTTCATTATTGATAAAGCATTATGTGATTTGGGTGCTAGTGTAAGCGTTATGCCATCGTCTATGTGTTCAAAGCTTAATGTGGGTGATTAAAAATTACTAACATTACTCTACAAATGGCCGACCGTTCTATTAAATACCCTTTAGGTATTCTAGAGAATGTCCCTGTCAGAGATGGTAAATTTTTTTATCCCTGTAGATTTTGTTATTATTGACATGGCTGAAGATATACAAATTCCTATAATATTAGGTAGACCTTTCCTCCACACTAAAGGAGCCATTATTATTGATGTCAAAAATGGAAAACTCACTATATCTGTAGCGGATGATAATATCACCTTTAGGGAGAGTTTTGAAAGAACCTACACTAGAGGAAAATTGTTGTAGTATTGATGTGATTGATATTATTTGTCATGATAGCTTACCACAGGTCCTTGCTAAAGATCCCTTAGAGGAAGTGCTTTGTTGTGATGTATCTGCAGGTTATGCTGGCATTTGGAGCAGTGAGATGGATGCTATTGAAAAAGCTCTAGCAAATGAGCAACTTGACCCTAAGGAAAGCGATAAGGTAGAAAAATTTGTGGAGGTAAAGAAACCCAAACTTAAACCTCTCCCTTCTAACTTGAAATATGTAGTTTTAGATGAGTAGGAACCGCACCTCGTGATCATCAGTACTGCACTTGATGAACCCCAAACTTCCCAACTCCTAGAGGTTCTCTAAACCCACAAAAAGGCAATTGGGTACAGTATTGATGATCTCAAGGGTATTAGCCCTGAATTTTGCATGCACAGGATACATTTAGAGGAAAATCACAAGCCATGTATTCAACCACAGAGTAGGTTGAATCCTAACATGCAGGAAGTCGTCAAGAAAGAGGTTATGAAATTACTTGATGCAGGTATTATCTATCCGATTTATGACTCAAAGTGGGTGTTGAGGTAAATATTGTTCTTTACTAAGTTAGATACTCTATCTTGTTCCAGAGTATTACACAATTATTAATGGTTTATACGAAGTATTGTTTAGTGATAATATAGCTAGTGTTGATCTAGAATAATTTGTGGTTTGGTAGTATGACTAGTAGTATACTATGGACAGTACACACTTTGGCCTGAATATTTTCCTAGCTAACTTCCTTAAATGAAATTAGAAGAATGAATGTGGATGGTAACTTACCATCACCTATAACATGTTGAGTAGAACCCATTATCAAGTTTAGTGACTATAGAAGTCACGTGAAGGAGAAGGGAGTTAATTACTTTAAAAAAAATAGCCAGAGACCGGAAATCATTTATGTCATTTACGACATCCAACCCCCAAAATTCATGTTGTTTGTTGCTCCACTTAAAGTTCGTGCTGTTAAGCGCACCCAAGTAATAATTTGTATTGTTTTAGCCAATTTTGCCTAATTTTATTTTGTTGAAAATCGATTATTTTATCGTTCAACTTGTAAGTTTAACAGAAATGGACACAATATTTCATTCGAGGAGGATTTCTTAATATTCACAACTTTAAGAAGAAACTTTAATTAAATACCATATTATGCTGACTTAGCAAATTATATTACTTAATCTTTTGTAATTTTTATTTTTTTTTAAAAATTTTTCAAAACAATTCTTTGTGAGATTTAAATTTATCCATGAACAAAAAGGTCTAAAGTTGTATTAATTTCATATATTACAATCATACTTTTAGCCCTATTGCAATTAATATTCAATAATTTAAACGATTAGCCATATAAGGATACAAAAGACCATTGTTAGGCAATAAAAAATAGTAGCATAAATTGAATTTTTTTATTATTCATTAGGTAATGGTCTTCTCCTTTTTAGGAAGAGTAAAACAACAAACTAGAGGTACTCTTGCGACTGCTAGTAGACATACACCAGGCCTATTAATAAATGTCTTACAAGCCTGAATACATTATTGTGTTAGTACACATGGTACAGCTTCACCCGTCAAACACTCATATTCAAAATCTTGAGGACGACCGCGTGCTTCGGCTTCAAAAACTAATCAAATAAGTGAAAATCTTTCGCCCGCGGAGTAGTCAGGGTTTTGAAAAATTCTCTTGATAAGGTGATCTCTAGACTTGATGACATTTCTAGCTGGGTCTCTTTGTTAGCATTGCCTCTTTGCACCCTTAAAACCTTTCACCCGAGGAGTAATCAGGAGTCTAGGTCATCGGTAAAATGTCGGCATCAAGAAGAGAGTATTTCCCATGCTATTTGTTCTTGGAGTGCACCAGGTGGTAGTTTGCAGCTTGTGAGGGAAACTTTGGCAAAGGATTCTCCTACTTTGTCGGTGGTTGATGATGAGGACCTTGATTTGGAAGAGCGTAATATCAAGCAGTGTCGTATGAAGTTTTGTGATGGCCATTACACCGATGCAGTTCGGGTTCTTTCTTCTTCAGACGTTGCTCCTTATAATGAGGCCACTCTTGTGGATTTACAGTCAAAACTGAAAAGAATGGTGTCCTTCCAACAAGTGTATTCTTCCGATAGAGGGTTCAGAATTATTACGGAGCTAATTCTTCAGTAAGGTCAAGTGATCAGAATGCCTAGGTGGAGGCCGCTTCCGATTAGTAATATCAATGTGCAATTGATGTTACAGCTTAATCTTAACTGAACCCTTCGGGTCGAACCCAATCGAATCACCGATCCGAGACGACGAATTAATCCGAAAGGATTTAATGAGTCAGCAGAGTTTTACGAATACATACGTCGGAAATAGAGCATAGGGCGTCGAGACCGAGCGTCGCAAAATCATAAGCGACAAGTACGAGTGTAGCCGTAGCACCACAATGGTCTAACCATGTGGATGCTAGGCCACTTCGAGCTAGAATGCACCTAGCATGGCTAGGCGCACCATCGCAAGCTCATGGCGCACCATCTCAGCCTAGGCATGCGCATGGCAGCCTATCGCAGAGCACCACAAGCCCTAGGCAACCCATCGCAGCTAGCAGCGTGCTAGCCTGGGTGCGCATGGCAAGCCATCGCAAGTGCCACAAGCACCAGGCAGCCCATCACAGCTAGCAGCGTGCTAGCCTGGGTGCCTGGGTGCCACACGGGTGCATGTGGCAGGCTATCGCAGCACGCAAGCTCAAGGCCAGGCACCATCGCAAGGCATGTCACCACACACAGCACCATCGCAATGCCAGGGGCTTGCGTGTGTGTGCGTGTGTGCCTCGCAGCCTAGCACAGCAGCAGCAATGATGCGTGTGGGCTGGTGCGTGTGGTGCGAGGCCAATGCACGCTGTGCATGACTAGTGCGCATGGTGCGTGGCTAGTGCGTGTGCAAGGGCATGTGCGAAGGTGTGTGCGTAGTGTGCGAGGCAAAGGGGGCCAGCATGCGTGGCTCGCTAGCAGCACGCATGCTTGGTGTGCGGGCATGTGCGAAGGGTGTAGCACGGATGCGTGTGATGCGTGGGATGCCAGGGGCAGCACCAGCGCCAACACGCACCAGCGCCCAGCACTAGCACGCACCAGCGCCAAGCATCGCCCACTACAAGAAAACAGGCAATCAACGACGTAAAAAATCCGTCAGAAAACCCTGAAATTCCGTCGAAAAAGGCCATTTCCGACGGAATTCCGTCGGAAAGCGTTGTCGGAAGACCCTTTGTAGGTATTTTTTGATATTCCGTCGGAAAGGTCAATTCCGACGGAATTTCCGACGGATTTTGTTCTGTTGGCGCTTTTGTTGACTTTCCATGTAAATCCGTCGCAAGGTTCCGACGGAAATGTCCGTCGGAGTAGGACATTTTCCGACGTAAATTTCCATCGGTGGGGAGATGTTCCGACGGAATATTCCGTCGGAGGAGGTATATTCTGACGGAAAATTCCGTCGGAAAATAAATAAAAAAAATAAAAAAAAAACCCCACCACCAGCCCACCCCCTGCCCCCCTACCCTCAACCTCAGACCACCACCCACAATACCCCCACAGCCCAGATCACAACCCACGACCCACAAAACCAAATCCCGACCCACGAAACCAAAGCCCACCCCCCTACCCTTAACCGCAAACCACCACCCACAAAACCCCCACAACCCAAATCCCCACCCACGAAACCCCCCTAACCCACAACTACCCACAACCCACCACCACTACAACCAAATTCAGACAACCACCACCTCCACCCAGAATAAAAAAAAAAAGCGAAAATTCAAAAACAATTAAAAAAAAAACGAAAAAACAAATCGAGTACACAAATTCAATAATACAAAATTGAATATACAAATTAAAAAAACAGATCTAATAAGCAAATTCAATAATACAAAATCAAAATCCAAAAAAAATAAAAAAAAAAACACGAAAAAAAACAAATTATACAAATCTAAATCAAAATCAGAAAAAAAAAAACAAAAAAGTAAAAAAAAAATTCTTCAAATGCTGGTTACTCGGTTGTGGGTCTCGATTTTGACGAATCCCGTGAAGCTCTGCCCGCATGTTGGTGGTTGTGTTGATGTCGGTGGAGAAAGTTTCACCGGTGATGATTGATCCGAACACCCATAGCAAGATTTTGACGAAAATTGAGAAAAAATAAAAAACCAAGATTAATTTGAGATTGAAAATGAAGAGGAAATAGAAGAAGGAGAAAGGAAAGACAAACAAAAAAAGAAGAAGGAGAAGAGAGGAGAGGGAAGGAGATGAGAGGCGGAGAGGATGAGAGGAGCGGAGAGATAAATGAGAAAATCAGAATAGAGGAGAGGGAAGGAGATGAGAGGCGGAAAGGATGAGAGGAGAGGAGAGAGAAATGAGAAATATATGAGGGGAGGGGAATCCGGGGTTTCTTAGGGTTTTGTTTTTGTTTTTTTTTTTTTTTAAATCAAAAATCCGTCGGAAGGGCTTTTAATTCCGTCGGAAATTTCCGACGGAATTAAATTCTGTCGGAAAATTCCTACGAAATTAAAATCCCTCGAAATTAATAAATTCCGACGGATTTTTTTTCCCTCGCAATGTATAGCTTCCGACGGAAAATTCCGTCGGAAGATATTTTCCGAGGGAATATTCCGTCGGAATCTATAAATTCCGAGGGGAATAATTTCGTCGGAATATTTCCGAGGGATTTTCCGTCGGAACGTACCTTTTCTGACGGAATTTTCTGACATACCCTAATTCTGTCGGAAAATTCGGAATTTCCGACGGAATTTACGTCCGTCGGAACGATTCCCTCGGAAAACGACCTATTTCTAGTAGTGGCCCAGCACCAAGCAGCACTGCCTGGCTGGGATGCGAAGGCTGCTGGTGGGCTGGTGCTAGCTAGGCTGGGCATGCTGGCAGTGCCAGCTGGCTGCCAGCCCAGCAGCATGCTTGGGGCTGTTTGTGAGGAGAGTGGGGACCAAGGCTTAGAGTCATGCCTTGGGGAGCAAGGCAATGGTCCCCTCCAAGGTTCATGGTCCTCACCTAACCCTCTCTCTCCCTTTGACACTTGTTGTATTGTGATTGGATTTATTTATTAATTTATTTTAGAAATAAATTAATTAGCAAATTATTCATTCTCCCACATTGGTTGGGGAATGAAGTTCAAGGGTTCATTTCCCTATAAATACCAAGCTTAGGTATTGGGAAATGAACAACCTTGAGTGGAATTAAAAAGGCAACTCTAAGAAAGAGTAAACCTTTGATTCGTAAAACTCATAGTTATTTTGTTCGGGTCTTGACTAACCTTCAAGACTTAGGACGCTCGGGTCGAGTCGAGGGTACGATCCGTCGGAGATCTCATCTTTTCGGGATTTTGAAGTAAGAGCTCTTTGGGAGCGAAGCACGCGTCAAAGGTATAATTCTTGTTCTTAATCTTGTTTGATTAAGTTTCTTTTGCTTGTTAATTGCTTTAATTAAGGGGCGGGTCTTGGTGGGTTTCCTTCCGCGTAGTGTTGGGTCACTACGAAACCCTACAGCGGTATCGGAGCCACGCTCCTTTTAATTTTTGCAATTATTTTTTAATTAAGGTGTTTTAAAAGAATTTAATTTTCTGGTTCATGTTCATCTAATTAGATTAGATGCTCGTTTTAATTAATTTTTAATACTCGATTTTATTTTCGATTTGGCTGTCGAACCCTGATTTTGGCTCAAAAATAGTGATTTTTGGGTGGAATCAACATTCTGGAACTGTTTCAACCCTTTTAGGATTGTCCAGAAGCCAAATTCAAACCAGAAACCCAATTTTTCTAATCTACTAATCTACTGGTTTTAAAATATCCTTGAGCATAATAATGGAGTTTTTATTAGTGCTTAAGTTGATATACCAATTTTTCACATAAACTTGTTTTTCACAAATTTTGCAAATAAATTGCAATAAAGTGTGAAAACTTGTTGTGATTTTGTATTTTAAGTTCCCAAATAATGTTAAAGTTCTAATCTTTAAAGGTTTAAATGATTGGAACCCTAACCCTAGACTCCATGTTGAACAAAGTTTGGATTTTTTCATGTTTGGTTGATTAAAATCCATTAAGTTCAATTACTTGTGAGTAAAATTTGATTAATCTTCATATTGGAAGATGTAATCTTGGTATTTTACACAAGTATGCAAGTTGGAAAATTTTATCATTGGATGGTTAATTTATTTTTCCAACTCCCATTTGTCAAATCCATTATTAATTTGCATATTGGCAAGATTAATTTTGGACATAGCTCATTTTATTTTAAGCATAAAGTTAGACCTAATTTTGTTCAAAATTGAAATTTTTGATAATTTAGGCTTGTGCACCAATAAAATAAATTTTATTTAAGTTAGACTTAATTTTATTTTATTTTTCCTCAAATTGATTCTAAAATGTAATTTAGAATTAATTCATGTCACACGTAAATCGGGATTAAAATCCCGAGTCATAGCACACAAATCAAGGCAAAACACCCAAGCGCCACCAAGGCTAGTCGGACTGCCTAGCAGCCCACATGTGGCTGCCTATGGTGCGCACAAGGGTAAGCCATGATGCTACTGTGCGCTGTTGTGTGGCGGGGAGGCATGGGCTGATGTGCGTGGACAGTGGCTGGGGTTGGCTTGCGAGGGATGCTGTTGGGCAGCAGGGAAGCAAGCACCAGCCCAGCGCACCACGAGCATCAAGAGGCACCTGCCCAGTAGGCCAGATGCTCGCAGGCACCAGCATGCTAGCAAGCATGCGCAGCATGCTAGCAGGCAGCTGGCGCTAGCAGCACTGCTTGCTGAGCACAGCAAGCCTCACCCACGCACCATGGCGCCATGCCATGGGCTGCCTAGCAGCCATGGTGCGCACCCACCAAGGGTTTTGTTGGGTGGTTTTGCTTAATGTTTGAGCTATGATTTTTGCATTATCCCGTCTTTAAAATATTTTTTGGTAATTATTTTAACGAGGCTAAAAACCTCGATTTTCGATTTTGCAAAATTTTGACAATTTATGGGTTATGCCGACTTAATTAATCGGATTAATTAAGTACGGATGCGGAATTTAGTGGGAGCTTAATTAAGTGCGTTAGCATTTTGCGTTTAGAAATAATGGATTAAACCACTTTGACTAGTTTTAATTAGGCGCGTTAATTGGATTAACCACCTAAGTTAGTT